CAACTTTAATTAAGGAGGCTAACCATTGCTCTCATTTGTCTAAAGATAAAATATAAGCTTCACTCGACAAATATCTTTTAACTGTTAGATAATGCTGGGAATCAGCCCCGCCAAACCTTGGCCCTGGCTGACCTTCCCAGTCTCATGCCTTGCATGTTTTTTCCTCTTTCTTAATTTTTTGGTTTGTATTTCCCTCATTTTAATCATCTTGTCTTTGCTTTAGACCATGTTTTGTTGTTGTTAATAATTCTGTTATTTGCCTAAGTTATTAGTCATCTTATAAGATTCAGATAAGAGGTACCTCCTTAATAAATCTCCCTGAACTTCTAAGGTAGTTCTCCGCTTTGCTTCTATGTTATACTATATAGATCTGTTTATATTGTCTTATCTTTCCCACTGGACTGAGCATCTCAAGGGCAGGAAACCTCTATATCCCAGGTGGCATGTGATAAATATTTATGGCCTTCAACTGAATGAGCATCCTTAATAGTTAAGGGGAAAAGAGGAGAGGTCATAAAACTAATCAACCCGTAGTCAAAAGCCAAAACTTTGTCTCAATATACTTAAACACAGAACTTAGAATACCTGTTTTACTGACGTTGGAGCTCGCTTTGGACAGTATTGTAAATTCCTCATGAAAAAGGCAGAAAGAACTATGAGTACTCTCACCACCAAGTGCTTTTAAATGAAACCAGTTTGAAGCAGTTTTCATTAAGATGGATTGAATATGGCATCGTGAGAAACACTTTATCAAATGTAGTGTTTTACTTAGTGATTAACTATATACCAGTTGATGAAGCTCCCCAAATCCTTTGTAATCCCACCACTCCAATAAACATTTAATGAGTATATAAGTTCAAAAAGCCTAGCAGAGGATTTAAACCTTCAATCTTGTTTTTATTTACTCTTGGAACTCAATTTCTCACTTCAAGTAAAGAATGCTGGTGCTTGAGGCTCATCTGTTGCCCTGGTAAAATTAATGTGCCTCCCACAGTTTAAATTAAACATGTGATAGTTAAGATGAAAGAAATTTAGTAAGAATGCCACAGTATCGGTCACACTTGCCTTAAAATATTTGAACATCAGCAAATTGTTTTCTTAAAAATGATTCAATTCAGAAGTTTTAAAAAATAGTATTGAAAAAGATTTAACTCTCAAATGTGAAATGTGAAAAGGAGATACAAAGTTTGATAACTAAATCCTTCAGTACAGCAGTTAGCACTGAAAAATGAAGTATGGTGGTATAGTATGAACCATACTTACCTGTGTTGGAACACGTGAGCTCCTATTTGGCCTCATTACTTAGTTTTATGCGTCTTTGGGCAAGTCATGTAACTTTTCTGAACTTCCTCATCACCACACTGGTAATGCTGATATTATTATGTCCCTGTTTCACTGGTTTGTTGTGCGATTCAAATGAGAGATATATAGGAAAATGTTTTATAAACCATAGAGCACCATATAAATCTGGAGGTAATAAATGTACCTGCTTAGATTTAATTTTGAATAATTTATCCATCATGTGGGTAAATTTCACTTAAATTTAGAGTAATACAATAAACAACATATAAACTGTTGATCTTTAATTTGGAAAAGAGAAATGAGGAAAGAAAAAGCCCTGGACAAGGGGAGAATGATAAAGAGAGTTTAGGAGTCCAAAGAGGTCGGTGGGTTTTGGTATGAACCTAATATGAAACAAAATATTTAACTACATGAGCCAATGATTTTCATCTGTTAAAAGGCTAAGACAGTAATCAAAAACAAAAAATCAATTGTTTCATTAGAAACACCCAGGAATTGATAACTAAGAGTTTATGCTCCTGTGAGGATCACCAGTCTGAATAAATCCAAATGCCAGTTTACTGTATCAGACACTTAGTAAAAGTCCTTTTTTCTAGTATATATTATCTATTTAAATAAGTTTCTTCATTTAAAATTGTAATGTTTAAGGTATACACAGTGTACCTTACAGTAGCTTTTTAAATGAGATTTAAAAGATGTCTATGCCTGTTTGGGGAGTAACGGTTTAAGTTACAAAAGGCTCTGACATTTTCCAGTAACTTCAACTGCTTAGCAATCTTGCTGGAAAGCAGAGACAGACATATCACAAATACAATCTTCTCAAAGAATGAATTGAAAAAGAATACATTCATTTACAGTTGTAATTAGTGCTCTTTCTAATGTTTATGTTCTACAAATGATTATTTAAATATAATAACATGGCCATACAATGAGAGACTCTATAACCATTAAAAACCCTGTTATAATAAAGTATACAGTATTACTTACAAAGCATTCTTGCAAAAAAGTTCTATCTGAATTGAACATAGCTTTTAGACTTAATATATCCACTTACCAGGAAATATAGGGTTGGGGGAACAAGTTAAGTAATATTGAGGAAAAAATCACACAAATCCAGAATTTGGAACAATGCGTAAGTCATTTAGCATGATTTCTTCACAAAGTAAATGTCATGGGGAAAAAAAAAAAAGGGAAAAGGGAATGCCCGCTTTAAACAGATTTAATAAATCTAACAACCAAATATAATTTATCATCCTTGCATGGATCGTGTTCGTGGTTCGAAAAAAAAAACCCAAACAGTTAAAGAGACATTTTGGGGACAACTGGTAAAGTTTGAATATGTACTGGATATTAGGGAATTATTGTTAATTAATAAGAAAATTATTGTTAATTTTGTTAATGGCATTGTGATTATGTAAGAGAATATCATTATTTTTGGAAAATGCATGCAGATATTTTTAGGGATAAAATATGATGTCTGTAATATACTTTGAATGTTTAGCAAAAAATAATGAATATACAAGGGTATCCTAAGTGTTTTTGTTCAGCTTAAGTTTTAATAATTTCAAACATTTAACTGCTTGCTACAAACTTTTGAAAAAGTCATATGAAACTTTATATTTCTTTTACATTTGTCTGTTTTTGTAAATTTTGAACAATAAATTTAAAGCTTATTTTCTGTTCCAGTCAATGTTTGCCATTTTCAATCAGAGAGGAACTAAAACAAAAATTATCATAAAAAATTTATTCATCAAAATCATATTTAAATAAGTAACAAAAATGTAAATAATTAAATTTCAAATGGTGCCATTTTGTGAGTATCAGTTAAACTTTTGAAGTTATTAAGGCTTAATTCCAATAAACTTTTAAATTCACTGTATATAGAAGAAGCAAATATGGCAAAATTTTAATAATTATTAAATCTAGGTATAGGGAATTTGGGTGTTTATTGTATTATTGTTTTACTTTTTCTATATTAAAATTGTTTTAATAAAAAGTTAAAATATAATTAAGAAAATAATATTAAAAGGTAAAAAGCTATTTTAACAAAATTATAACATGACTCGATTCTATGTTAAATATGTACAAATGTACTCATTGAAATGTATAGTAAAAATTATGAAAACAACATATATCATAAAGTTAACCATTAATCTGTGTTAATAGAATATTTTCTTTTTGATTTTCAGTATTTCCACCAACCTGTACTTACGGAAACTATAAACATGTATTATCATAAACATGTATCTTCAAAAATAACTGCCATTTTACATAGATTTAAGAGTTTAAAAAACCAGATGCTGAAGACAGCCTTTACAATGGGCAATTCACTATTCTTAGGGTAAAGAATGGTTTATGTTTATATTTCTTAATCTACTTCATTAAACTCTTAGTGATAGCTCTAAGTTTGACAACTAATTATTCTCTTGGAATTCAATTTTTAAAGTTTGTTTAAAATAAATTTTTCTTTATGTCAGAATTTAACAGAAACTAGAAACTAAAATTTCAGAGGCATCCATCCTTGCACTCTCAAAATCCTTGCACTCTCTCATCCATTCTCAAAATTCCTTGCCCTCTTTAATTCCAGTAATTTTCCCTTTATTTCATCTACATACTATTCCTTCCTCTCTCATTTTTCCTTCATTCAATAAACATATAGAGTATTTATTATGTATAGGGATGTAACGTACACAGTCACTGCTAAAAATAAAATAATAAAGTCTCTTGGGAAGATATATATTTTTTATATCTATATCTATATCTATATATAGAGAGAGAGAGAAAGAGAAAGAGAGAGAGAGAGAGAGAGAGAGAATGGATAATTACAAGCAATGCGTTAAGTGTAACAACAAAATGGGCAGAGGGTATCATTGCAAAATGCCAAAGGAGGGGGTGCGGTCAATGTGAGAGTAGTGCAAGAGTCAGGAAAGGTTAAGTCTCAGGGGAAGAGCAGGAGTCAACCAGGTACAGAGCAGGATGAAAGGCATTACTGACCGTGGGAAAGCATGACAAAAGAATAGGATTATGGACAGATACAAATGGTACACTACTGTTGGATTTCTTAAGTGTAAGGCAGGTAGTGGGAAGAGATGAAGCTAGACGGATAGGCAGAAGCCAGATTACTGGGGTCTCAACTGCTGTGTCAACATATAAATAGAGTGACTGCACAGAACCTTCTTGCTTAAAATGTATCTTCTCAATTTGTGTTATAAACTTCAATCTACTGGATTTCAAGATCATAAAGCCCATTTCTCCATTTAAGGAAAAATCTTTTTGTTGTCTAAAGTGACTTTTGGGGAAAAACTATTGCAAGTTTTAAATATATACTACTAGACAGAATAATCATTTTGGGAAAAGGCTGAAGGACAAACCCTTTAGCAAGAGCCTGTCAATCACGCGACGAAACTGAAAAGCATGTCCTTTCTAAGCATGTCCATCTTTTTTTTTTCCTTATTAAAAACCCTGTTTCAGAGCTTGACAAGGCCTTCTGAAAGAGTCAACAGTACCCAGTAGCCTATCATACTACTGCCTATCTGAAATGGGCATCTTGCTGATGATTAGATTGCTAGATGAACCAGAAACAAAATCAAATCTTTCTTTGACTCGAAAAAAATCAGAAAACTTAAAGCATTGCCTCAGGCCTGGTGGTAAACCTATGGGATACACTTTTTAATCAGAAAAGGTAAGATTGCACTTACATCTCGGGCTTTCACATAGAAGGCCTCTTGAAAAGCAGCTTCTAATGAGCCAATAAAAAATACCGGATGGCAGTCACCATATCTATAGGAAAAATTATGTCTATTAATTAAAATTCATTTCAAATTTACTTCAAAGTTTCACAAGTCTAACCAACGGCTTAAGTAAATGTCAGGGCTAATGTCTTTTAAGAACAGATCAAACATTAAAACATTTCTTTAAAGGCTTAGGAATGAGCTTCATTAGTTTTTAGAATTCTTCTTGGTCTAAACTGATATTTAGAACACTGGAATTTTAAGTACATCTAGCAAATGTATTTAATAAGTGCCACAAAACCATGCCATTTATAAGTAGCAATTTCCCACTTTCATAAGATTTTCCTAGTTATAGTGGCTTTAATCTTCCATTTTAGTTCATTTACTCTGGAAGTCCAACAGAGAGGGGGGAAAAATGGTATCCTGCAAAGTTTCCAAATTATAATATAACATGAGAAAATAGAACTAAAGAGAAATATCATTTACAGGAAATTTTAGGGTTAAGTATTTAAATTGTCTTTGCTTAAACACCTTAAGAAAATCTCAGATGAATATAGAACATGTTATATTAGACTCTTAAATGATTTAAAAAAAATTAAAAGAAAAATTCACTTACATTTAAAAATTTTAAATTATCTTTTTATGTAATGTTAGTGTAAAGGATATATTAAAAAGTAGTATCCTATAACCTAGTCCTTTGGGAATACAGTCAAGATATTAAATTAGTGATACATTTATTATGCTTCAATAAAGATATAGAGAGATAAGATGAATACATCTCTGAAGTGGCATAAGTGGTTTACTAGTTATCTGGCACTGAATACTGTGTGCTTCACTATCAGGAACATATAGATTGATAAATGTATCCTTTGACTACTTTAAGGAGAAATTAAAAACAATCAATCTATGACTATAATTGCTCCAGAAAAATCACAGTAGCATTAAAAGAACATCAATTTTATATAGTTAATGTCCTAACCCTACCTTGAAGAAAACTCTGCTGTAAATTGTAATAAGGCATCTCCTTCATTTTCTGCGTTTTCTGGCACTAAAAAACAAACAAAAGAAAAAACAAAAACAAAAAAAACAAAACAAATAGACACAAAAAACAAACCACATAACATCTAATCCCACATATAAGAAATATATTTAATCAATAAAGAGGAAATAAAATTTTAGCTTCTGTGATACATCTGAGGAGACATTTTAACTCGATATACATTAGATTTCATCAAACCTTAAAAAAGAAACTTAGAAAAATTCCCAGCTCATAAATTTTGGAAAACCAACTGACACAATCCTGCTAGTAAGCATTAAAAATATGTGCCAGATATCAATTAGGATTTCAATGTTTTCTGGAAATGACATCTTGTGATTATATTATATTATATAAAAAGGATCTTAAATTACTTTGAAGGCTGTAATAATCATGGAAATAGTCAATTTTATGTAAATATCATATCTATTTCTGTCCATAGGAGTTCCCTAATTTCAGAGTAAATGAGCCATTTAAGGACTTATTTTAACAAGGTCATTTTGCATATAGCAACCACTTGTGATTCTATAGTATGCATTTTATAAGGTGGAAGTGAGGAAGATGGTACATTTAATTTATTTTTTCCTTCCAAAGATGGATACCAGTGAATGGAAAAGTAATATTACTACTCTTAAAACTGGCATCCTCAATAAGTTGTGGGGAAACAAGTACAGTCACAGAAAATACAGCTATTTATAAACCACTAGGTTTAAAATAGACAGATTTATAACTAATTATATAATACATGTGAAACAAAAGTTATATTCCCTTGCATTTTAATGAACTTTACTAAAGCACTGGGTAACGTTGGGCTTAATAAAATAAAAACGCAAGAGGCTCTGGTTCTAATGAATAATGCCTACTGGCTATATTTTATCTCTCCAGACCTGAAAGTCAGACAGACATTTTCAAGTTCACTTTTCTTCATAAGTTTCTGCACTAGGAGGGAGAATTACAATGCTAGACCCAAAGAGCTATTAATACTCACTCATTGGAGATTTTCTCAGAGCAGATGACGCCATGCCGAATACTTCTCCATCATCCACCCCAAATTCAGAAGCATCTTCAAAGTCATCTCCATCACTATCACTAACCATATGAACATCGGTGCTTTGCTATTTAAGGAAAGTCCTGATTAGTTTCAAATTGACTTTAGAAAATTAAATTCCAAAATATAAGTTATGTAATAACATTGAGCATTATAAAAGTTTTATTAAATGAGAAACCATTTGCTAGAGCAAAGATTAATATTTTTCAGTTTAAGGCTTGCATATATTTCTAAACTTGCAGTGATGCCCTAAGACTAAAGGTTGGAGACTACAGGAAAATGCTTACAAACTCAATAAAGACAGGGATTTTTGTGTGTTTTATCGCTAGCCTACAGTAACACAATTAAGGGCTCAAGAAATGAGGAGATAGATACAATCAGAGAGATCAGAGACAAAGTAAACTATATGAGTCTTTCAAAACCAATCTATGCTTGCCAGGTAAAGCAATGGTAGCATTTTCAAACTTGGCACTTCCTTCCTGTAATGGTTCTCAAATTTCTCATTAGTGAATATGGTACATTATCCTCACAGTGTTATTGGAAGATAACATGAAATATACTATGTATGAAAGCTCTTTGTAAAGTGAAGGCTATTATATATGAGATGTAATAATGATACTTCAATTAAATAAACATTTATTGAGAATATACTACATGCTGAGCATTGATAAACATGTTCTGCTTATTTTGTTTTCAGCTGAGATTTCAGCTGCGATTTAAGGTATTACAATTAAAAGCAACTTCAAAATATGAACTAGGCTGCTGATCTCCAGGTTAGAATGGGATTTCAAAAATACTGAGACTTAAAACATTCAAACTGAGTTGTGAATATTGACACATATTAATGCCTTGGATGAGAACGGGGTCCCAGCAAGGTATCTGGCTAAATGTCTGTCTGTATTATGTTCAATAAATAAAGTCTACAAAGACTATTTAACAAATGAAATTTCAATCTTATAAAATATGGCACCGTGTACTTAAGTTATGAAAATGGGGAAACTAATCATTTAGTCTATGCAGAGCCTAAGTTAGAGATAAGCATTTGCCAGAAAAGCATTAAGAGAAACTTGGAATCAAAGACTCATATGACTTATTTATAGGGGATGTTAGAGTTTAGCCAGTCATAGAATCATAGATTTTAAAGTTGGAAGAGATTTTAAAGATCTCTCATCAGTGGTTTCCAAACTTCTTTTCATAGGTTACCTCGCTCGCCTGGCCCCAAGCAAAATACCGCGTAAAATGACAGTGCATATAGTATCTAACAGTGAGGTCCCTCTGGCTGCTGCAGGGAGAGGGCATTGGGAGCCCAATGCTCCTGGGCTTGGCCTTTTCTTCCTCGTATCCCTTTGGCAGCTGGGGACACTCAGGACACTATGGAACAATTTTAAAAACTACTGATATAGTGAGCCTAACAGCTCCAAATGAGGAAGCCAGGACATTTACTCCTCAGTAGGCTTGGCAGTGCCTCCTTGAGCATAACCAAGCATCAATACCCAGAACTGTACGTTTTTCCCTGTTATCTTAAAAACAGTCTTCCCAGTGGTTTGAACAGTGAATAAATGAACGGATGAATAAAAATGAATGATCCTTGCCCTAAGCAGTCTCTCTGCTATTCTGACTGTACCACTATTTCTCGCAGAAACCTTGGTTCTACTTGCGATCCTAATCCTACTTCAGCATTTTGCTTTGTAGAGCCAAGAAGCCCTCCTTATTTTAGCAATGCAACAGTTTAAAAATTCAAAAAACTCGTTCTCATTTCAAACAAGTGAGGGAGCCTCCTCTGCAAAACAACACATTTACTAAGACCACAACTGCTTGAATTCTCTCTGTGTTGCAGACAGGCAAATATCTGGAGCACAAAGTTCCCTTGAACTTTGAGGTTCAGTCTTAAACAGGTAAAGGGTCAGGATCTAAAAGGCACACTCTATGTTCCTTTTGGATGCTTACCCAGGTTCACAGGCAAGTGGAAGGAAACAGCGGGGCAGTATGACAAACCTTCTCACATCCTCTATCAGCTAAACTACCATCTCAGCCTTCACTTACTCTTGCCTAATACTCACCCCTCCTTTTAAGAGGCATCAGGTTAAGGAGGTTGGAGGACACAGAGATGAGAAGAAAGGGATTGTTCTACATATCATCTTTTCTTCTCGCCCCTTTTACCCTTGCTCCCCCATATCTATCCCCTTTCTCCTAATTCAGTTTTCAAGCAAATAACAGCCCCTTTCCGTAACATTAGGACTTTACCTCATACTCAGATGGTAATTAAATTTTGTGCCTATGTAACTTATTCATTTTGTCTTCACGAAGTATAGAATCTCCAAATCTCTTAAGATCCCAGAAAGTGAATCCTACAACGACATCTCCAAAGGGAGGTATCTAAAAAGCCGATTTTGTTGAAAAAAGTATATTTCAAATATGAATTATTGAAGTATCTGCAAGAATGAGCTACTTAATTATGTATAAGGGACTCCCAATCTCTTCACATTTTTAAAAATCAGCCATCTACCAGGTTAAGAAAAGCTTTTTCTAAAAAATGAGATAAACAATCTTTTTTCATTACTGTTTGCTGACGAGAATAGATAATCTCTTGGTTCAGTCATGGGTGCCCTAAAATTCTTTGAATCCAGAGAAACTATTTACCTGGAATTTTAAAAACAGCTAAAAAAATCTGTGATCCTATTTTACCTGTTTACTATATTCATTTATTCCTTTTATCATTTAACAAACCCCTACTAAGTCCTACATTGCTTGGACCTGTGTTAAAGATACAGACTATGCTCTCTATGGAACATCATATAAAATATGGAGATAATTATAATACCTAGTGATAAGTTTTATGACAGGTAAGCTCAGAGGAGAGCATTTAATGCACTGGGGGTGGGAGGGATCAGGGCAAACTTCCTAAAGGAGCTAATAACCAAACTGTTTGAGACAAAAATTTAGAACTCATACATACTTGGCACTAAGACAAGCTTATAAATGAAGCAGATATTCCCTTCACCAACTACTTATGTCAAAGTGCCACGTCAAAAGCCAGGGATACAGAGATAAAACATAGTTCCTGCATTCAAGAAATTCCCATTCTAAAGGAAGATATGTTTAGTTGCAAATACATCTTTTTCAGTGTGATAAGAGATACAATAAAAGTACAAGCAAACACTATTGGCGAATAAAGGAGAGAGTGATTAGTTATTCTAGGACCGGTGAAGCAGACGGTCCAAGGCTTCACATAAGTGCTAATATTTAACCCATATCATAAAAAAAAGATATCAGTGTTGTGGAGTGTGTGTAATGCAAAACTGGTGGAGAGGGAGTTGTATGCTCTAGGCAGAGAGAAAAACTTAAGCAAGGAGTTGGATATTTTTAAAAAATCAATAAAAAATTCAGGAAAGCAAGGGTAACTATTGCATTTTTCTGTACACCTGAAACTAACAATAAAAAAAAAGAAAGAAAAAAAACAAACTAGACCATTATGAAGAAAAGAAAAAAGGTGATTTAAAAATTGTACCACACTCTTGGATTATTATTATATTGTTCAATGTTTAAAATTTTAAATGGATCCTGTCATCTGAATTATCAGATGACATAAGTACTAATAAAAGAATGATTCAGCTTTAAAAAAAAAAAATTCAGGAAAGCAAACTGAATCATCAGCTCTGTGTATGGGGGAGGAATGTGGACTAGCAGGAAGGGCACAAGGTGTGATGCATCTAGATTGTGGCAGTCCTTAAATTGGCACACTAAGGTATTTGGACTTTACGAGTACTCTGATGGCAAGAGAGAAATCACTTTAGGGTTTTTTGACAGAGGATTGTTCAAGGAACAACTCTAATGGCTGTGTGTGTGTGTGTGCGCGCGCGCATGAGCGTGCGCGCGTGCTGGGGGGAGTATGGCAGCATATGGCAGATTAGACCTGAAGACATGAGAAGGGAGATTTACTTCAAAGTTCCATGTGAGAGGGCTTGAGAGCCTATATCTGAGCAGCAGCAATGGGAATCAAATGAAGTGGACAGACTTAAAATACACTTCAGCAGAACTGATTAGGAACTGTTGACCAATTAGATTTGAGGATGAAAAAATGGAAGAGGCAAATATGACACCAAGATTTGGGTGACTAAGTGGGTAGAGAGGGTCAGGTCTGGTGAGGGAGGATACTGAGGCTAGTTCTCAGACAGAGGAAATTTGAGGAAGTGGTAGGAAAATCAGACAGCTTGGAAAAAAATCTTCTTAGCAGCTCAGGAAAGAGGTCCAGAAAAGATTTAATTTGGAAATAATCAGCATATATATAATAGTTGAGGTTACAGGAATGAATAAGAATCAGTCAGTTAAAAAATAAAGAAAAGTGATAAGGATAAGAGTTCACAGAATATATATATATATACACATAATTATTATATATTATATACATAAATATGTAAATAGATATACATAAATATTTCACCTGGTGAAAGAAGAGAAGGGGTAAAAGAGATGGAGCGATAGCTGTTGAAGATTAGAAAGTCAATTGAGAGAAAGAATCTTAGAAGCAAGGTCTAAGAAAATTTCAATGGAGACAAGAACTGTGTGTAAACAGGTTCAGTAGGATGAGAATTTAGAAACAGAGAGCTATGGTATTATGAGAAACAAAACAAAACAAAAACAAAAAACAAAACAAAACAAACCACGACAAAGAAACCTGAGTTAATAATCAAAAGACCTGGCACTGAATATTCTACCATTCTCTGTATGACTTTGGGCAAGTGTCTTCTCATCCCCACTATAGAATGTGACTAATACTGACCCACAAACATGGCTGTGAAAATGAAAAAAGACGGCAAAGCATGGTATCTTAAAAAAACTATTATCTGACTCTAAGAGTTAAATTCAATTTTAGTCATATGGTAGAAAGAAACCAAGTTGTAGTGAGTTAAGTGAATAGAAGATGAAGAAATAGAGTCATCAGTATAGATTACTCTATGAAGGTTGGCTGTGAAAAAAAAGGAAAGGTAAAACTAAAGCTTGAGTGGGAGCTGAGTTTGAAGGAATATATACATATACACACACACACACACACACACATATATATGTATATATATATTTAGGATGAGAAGATCTGAACATATTTTTAGGATGAAGAGAAGGAACCAATAGAGGGGGGAGAATAAAAATGCAAGAGGCCCCTTTTACCCATCCCATGTTGGTGGAAAGGTTAGTGAGGGTAGAATCAAGATAATGGGCAGAATATAAACTCTAACAGCAAGAAATTTCTCAACAAAGTAGGGTAACAAATTTGATGCTGATATGAAAATACTGTTATTTGAATAGAAAAAAAGAGGGTCATAAAAGTCTCGATGTCTGAGACCAATTGGGTCAGTTTCAAAGAACAGCAAGTCCCTCAGTGACTGGAATGAACAGTCTTGGGCTTGGGTTGACAATGAACATGAATATGTGTGAGGAGATGGATTTGGGAGACATGTGGAGTTCAGTTCTGTACAGAATGAATCTGCAGTGGGCATGCAGATGGAGATGTTCAGGAGGAACTGGATGACCACTTAGCTTGTCAGCCTGTAGTTCAGGATCCAACAGTATGTAGCATTGCACCACAGGCAGACATGCTCAATACTTGTCTCATCAAGTTTTAAAAACTAAAATATAGAATTTTGGCAATTAATTATCTGTGTTCAATTTCATTGTTTTTGTTAGGTACAAACTCCTTCCCGGAAAGACTTTGTTTTGTTCAAAGCCATATTCCCAGCACCTAGACCAATACCAGGTGTACAGTAGGTATGTACTCAGAATTTATTGAATGAATATAGAATGAACCTTTTGTCGCTGAAGCCCAAACCTAGGTATCATTCTTATCTCCTCCTTCTTTCTTTTCTCCTGCAGATCTTATCAGTTACCAGTCCCACTAATTTTCCCTCCAAAGTATTTCCTAAGTCCATATCCTTCTCTGTTTTTACTAATGATGCTCTAGCTCAGAATCTCATTATCTTTTGCCTCTACCAGCACAACAGTCATATATGATTTCTCTGCCTGCAGTCTTGCTTCCCTTACATCTAGCTCTGCACAGCAGCCAAAGTGCTCTTCTCTAAAATGTATATTTGGGCAACCCCTCCCCTGCAAAATCATTCTCTACTTATTAGCCTTCTATGGCTCCCCAGAGTACAAATTCCCCACTAGACACACTAGAACTACTCACCTTAGCCTCATCTCTTATCTTTCTTTGTCTCCCATTTTATTTTGCATAAACACCGAATTGCACTCATCTCTCCCCATATACTAATCAGACCACGCTGTTCCCTTGAATGGGATACTATTTCCATGTTTCTTCATTTGGCTGTGTGTGTCTTATTCTTCATAATTCGATTTGGATGTCAACTCCTCTAGTTTTTCTTCTTTTTCTTTTTTTTAAGTATTCATATTTTTTCTGTGGTTGGTATGTGCCAGGCAGTACACTCGGCATTAGGGATACAGAGGTAGATAGGGTAGACAAGGCTTTTGCCTGCAAACATTCTTAAAGTTTCCCCATCACCACCCCCACCCCCTATATTTGTGTTCCCCCAGTGTCTTGTGCTTGCCTCAATTTTCTTAATTATATAATATGAAATTATTAATTTATAGTCATCTGACTAGCACATAGTGAGCAGTCAATAGATGATACCTTAACTGAAGTTATAAACAGTGGTTTTAACATTAACTACATTCAAATTTTATTTTTTGTTATTCTTGGGGTATTCCTCCACTGCCAACTGAAGACTGGACAATTCCCAAGGAGTCTGGGTCCAGGGGATCCCTACACTGCCCCACCCAAGCAGCTGGGAAGAGGAGAGATAGGTACCTAGCTAGGTACCCAGAGATATGGGAAGATCATTAAAGGGGGGCTCAGGAACAAGGGGAGGATGGGAAGGAAAGAGAAAATGTTCAATTATCATAAAGAAAATGTAATTGCAGGGCCAGAAGGAGAATGCAAGAAATAAAATTTTCCCAGCTAGAGGACACAAAACTCTAACCCACGAAATTCAAAACCTGAATTTAAGTACTGGTCTCAAATATCTTTCCTAACTTCAAGCTTAGTAAGACAGTCAATAGTAAAATGGTAATTGTCTTAAAAAATATTAAGTAATGTAGGAGAAGGGTTAAAACCAGAAGAAAGAAGCAGAACCACTGGGTGGAAGCTATAGAGACATAGGTTCCAGTTTAATATAAGGGCAGAGCTGCTCAACAATGGAACTGGTTGCCTCATGAAGACAGACCCTGTTATTGGAAGTAAAACACCTGTCTATTTTGAGGGGATGTTTTGAGTGAGCTCTTTCAGCATACACACAGTGGTCCTAATGTTTGGCACCTAGGAAACATTAAATAAATGTTTAAATGAATGAGGGATGAAGTGATGGAAGAGTAGAAATCAAAGATAAAATCCCTTCCAGTTTTATAAGCCTATGATAACATAAAAACCAAGTCACAGCTTCTTTCTCATTTCTCACAAGCTCACTGCAGGAGGTGGTATTTACAGTTAGTTAGCCAGGGAAGGAAAAATAATGGACTCATCTCAGATAATCAGATTTCAAGATATTCCTGAGGCCGTGGCTGTTTTTTGTTTGGCAAAGCCTCCTAACCCCACACTCCCTTCTATAATTAACCCAAAGAGTGTGCCAGCCTCACAAATACTACTCCTCACTCTATGACACTGACTTCTTTCTGTTGAAGGGACAGTCCAAAGAACACATATAATGGTGAGAGTGACAGAAGGAAATAAAATGAAGTGAAACACCTCTCAGAGCATGGAACAATTAAGAATTTTGGGTGGAGCTAGTTGGCCACCTTTCAATGTTAGTAGATTTATCCAGTAAAGAGTTGAAGCATAACCTACTTTCGCCGTTAAAAATATACTCAGAAATATTAGAAAGAAATGCTAGAAATAGCTCAGGCAATTATTTTTGGCAATTTTTACCAAGCAGTGAAACTCAGTATCATTTTTTCTTTCCTGAGTATTAGTGAGATAAAGTACTGGAAAAAATGGTGTGGGCTCTTTAAAAGAAATTAACATTTTTAGAGGCCCAAGAAAACAGTACTGTAGTATTGTAGCCAAGGGAAAACCTTCTTTCTTTGTTGATTTCTAAAAAATGTTAAAAGAGTAGCAAATTATCATTTTCACAGGATGATCACAGATGAGAATTTCACTTATGCAGTCTCACTTTTCTTTCACATATTTAAGCGATATCAACATTTCAGAGGACGGCTGCAGAGATGCTGCGGCAACTCCCATGTAAGTGTCCAAAACACATAGTCAGTTTAAACACAAATTTTCAACCATATTTTGTATAGACTGTAAGTGGGAAATGATTTTACTGAATTAGCCCAAGCTTTTAAATACTTGGATCACGCTCTGGCCTGAAAAACCGTGGTGTAAACAAACTTTCTGTGCTATTAAGTTATGACCTCTGTTGCATATGCTTTTTAAGTCACGGTGATGATTTTTCCTAGTACATAGTAGAAGCACAATAAATGCTTTTAAGATGAATAAACTGTAATGTTCATGCTCACTTTCCCATTCCCTTAAACTAGTTATAGTTAGACACAGGGCAGTCTGTAACCATGGAAAAGATACTACCTTTTAATATTGTTCAGACTCACAAAGACACACAGGCACATCACATACACAAGCATGTTCAGTCTTATCTGACCCTTTCTTTGTTTCTATAGCACCCTGTGTGCACTGACTGCTATCATTGCATTTATGACATTATGTCATTATTAGTTTACTGATCTATCGCCTTTGACTCTGAGCACCTTGGGATTAAGTACATTGTTATTCTTTGTTACCTAGTATCAAGCATAATGCCTGGCTCCTGGACGATGCACCAACTCAATGAGTTAAAGGACCTTCAAATCAATCCTAATAAATGTACTGAACTATATTGTCAGCAGCAAAGAAAATCCCTTTGTTAACCTGACAGTTCTAAGTAAAAATCATTTCAACCAATCCACCTGAATTCTGTCTGTTGAAACATGAAACTTATAGAACAACAAAGAGTACATTAGCAATAACCTTGCATGGAAAGTTTCTTCCTCCAAGAATTTACTGAGACTTTATTCACGCTACGTTAACTTTATCTATTCATTGCTGCAGCAGATAAAAAAGAATAGGAAGTGGGCAGGTGGGTGGAGGATAGGCCTTCTGTTCACTGAAAAGCTGGAAAATAGGCTTACCTCTTCGGACTGTTCCCGGGTCTGTGCAGGTGAAGATCTTCTTCCCACTGTCAGTCGATGGCAAGGATAAGAGAGCCCTGATTCAGCAAGACACATCTGCAAAAAGTAAAATCCATCACTTGTAAACAAAATGAGACCATGTTTCACAAAAGGGTTTTATTTTTTGCATATTTTCTATTACTTCTGAAGCTAGATTAGAAAGATCTCTCTAGTAACCCAGGTATTACATTACCAGGAAGGCTTTGAACATTTGAAAATTTCCCACATACAGGATGTTACACTAGTCAAGGCTATTACTCATTAGACAATAGACTGGGGCTCCAGGATACTGTAACAAGCCTAAAATGAAGCTACCATATAAACTACTCCCCCAAGCATGTCTGTTACTTTTCTGATTAGTAGAATAATACCTCAGTTTCCTAATTCCCAGGGAAGTACTCTATAAATCTTTTTTGGAGGGTATCTGAAAGAGTGTTTGCTGAAAGCACTTTTAAAATAAGTTTCCACATATGGTGACTATGTCATTTATACTTTAATCAATATTAATTCACAATTTCAGATCATTATGACAGCTTATGATTCCATAATGCATGTAAAGCAACTAGCACAGTGTCTGGCACACATTCAGTTTACTGTGATGATCTGAAATACTACCCAAAGAATATGCCTACTATGGCCAAAACGGTTAAAGCAATACGTATTTACTTCTATTAAAGTTTATAGTGGGTCAGATATTAAATAACTATTTTGAGGTTTAAATTAAATTTAGGCAATATAAGCAAAGAAGAACGTATGCTACTTTTGTCTACAGAGCATTAAAACTATATTAAATACCCAGAAAAGTATTTTTCTTTGTTGTTCATGAAATGAAACATATGCATTTACTGTAACAATGATATAAAGTGAAGTTTCTTTTATTATTATTAAAAATAAAATAGAGTATCCACTAGTACACTGAAAATACCCATTGCTAACTTTTGGGAGGTGTGAATTAAACTGATATATGATGAGGAAACCAAAATACCTGTAAATTCATAGGGACCAGCCAAAGACACAATAGTTGGTCATAACAACAGTTCAAACATGTTTATAATAAAGCTAATAATCATCTGAAGACAAATATTGGAGTGGAGAATGCAAATGTCAAATAAATATTCAGGTATTTTCTAACAGGTGAGGTGTGTTCTATCATACAGATTATACTGAACAAAATCACGTGTTTGACTATTGTTATTTTTCATTTAGTCTGGTTAGAGGCTTTTGCTTGCTTTTGCATCTAGATGTTTTGACATTGTACTTTACAAATGCTAGAAGACCTGATTTCATTTTTTTAAAAAGCCAAGTGCATTGATTCTGTCATTTCTATTCAACCATATTTATTAACATAATTGCCACAATTAGCTCAATTTATTTCATTTCAATAAGACAAAGCCATGTTGGATAAGAAGCATAGGCTAATGGGGATATGAAACACAATTTGGGGAATATAATCAATAATGTTGTAAAGATTTTATAGGGTGTCAGATGGGCATTTGTCTTATTAGGGAGGCCACTTCATAGACAGTATAGATGCCTGACCACTGTGCTGTACACCTGAAGCTAAATAATACTAAGTGTCAACTATAATTTGATATATATATAGTCACGGGATGTGGGATATAGCATAGAGAATAGAGGCAATGGAATTGTAACAGCTATATACAATGTCAGAGGGGTGGTAGATTGGGGGAAGGGAGTTATCACTTTGTGAGAGGTGTAAATGTCTATTACATTGTTTTGTACACCTGAAACAAAAAACAAACAAAAAAACAAAAACAAAAACAAAAAGCACAGGCTAACATTCAAGCCACGTTACCTTCACAATGTTTTCCATTTGAAAAAGTCCTCCTCCCCCACCCTGAAATCCTCTGGTAATGAAACAGTAATGATGGTAAATGTCACTGACAATCAGAAACAGTGTAGTGTAATGGAAAGGTATCTTGACCAAGAGCCAGGATAATCTCCATTCAAGGACTGCCTAGCCTCCTGATCTTGGTAAAGTCATTTCTCTATTCTAAGCTAGAGTTTCCTCATTTGTTTTATTTTTTATTAAATTTATTGCTCATTTATTAATTGACTTGAGTAATCCCTGCCCTAACTACCTCAATGGACTTTTGAAAGGGTTAAATGTGATAAGGTAAGTAAAAGCTGGCTTTGAAACTGTACTGACATAGGCAGAAGAGCTGTTTTCATTTCAATGATTGTTATTTTTAGGACCTGGAGAAGAGAAATGGTGATTAACTTCCCACTGTGACTACCTTTGCAAATAGCCCATTCATAGGAGGAACTGGAGGAAAGTGCTCACTGAAAGTACACGGTACAAATGGCTGGCTCCTCAGTGGGCTGTCTCCACAGTTATCCACATTTACCATCTCCATTCCCAAGGATTAGAGGAGAGTTTTGCCTTTTCCAGGATGTCATATAGCTGTAATCAAACAGTATGTAGCCTTTTCAAATTGGTCTCTTCCCATTAGCAATATGTATTTAAAGTTCATCTATGTCTTCTCATGGCTTGAGAACTCACTGCCTTTTATGGTGTTCAATGGCATTCTGTTGTCTGGATGGACCACAGTTTGTTTATCCATTCACCTACTGAAGGACATCTTGATTGCTTCCAGGTTATGGCAATTATGAATAAAGCTTCCATAAATATCTGTGTATAGGTTTTTGTGTAGACACAAGTTTTCAACTACTTTGGGTTAAACACCAAGGAGTATTAATAGGTAGATCGTATGGTAATAGTATGTTTAGTTTTGTAAGAAACCACTAAACTGTCTTCCATAGTGGCTGTACCATTTTGCACTCCCACCAGCGATGAATGAGAGTTCCTGTTGCTCCACATCCTCACCAGCATTTGGTGGTATCAGTGTTCTAGATTTGGGGCATTCTAATAGGTATGTGGTGGTATCTCATTGTTGTTTTAATTTGTATTTCTTTGATGACATATGATGTGAAACTCTTTTGATATGTTCTATCTGTATATCATCTTTGGTGAGATGTCTTTTAAAGCCTTGGGCCCATTTTTTATTTTATTTTTTTTTTGTTATTGAGTTTTAAGAGTTCTTTGTATGTTTTGGATAACAGTCCCTTATCAGATGTATTTTTTGTAGATATCTTCTCCCAGTTTGTGGCTTGTCTTCTGATCCTCTTGAAAGAAACGACTTTTAAAGTCAGTATCCTGAGCACAAATTCATTTCTGCTAGTCACTGTTCTACTATTTACTCAAATCAATTGTTTATGTCTCAAACCTTGGTTTCTTCCTCTATAAAAATATTACCTTTCTTAACTGGCTTTCTGTGAGGATGACTTAAAAGAGAATATATTTGCCAAAGAGTAGAAATATTATATCAGTTGGTGAATATTTTTAAAGTCTATTTGAAGTTTTTTGTTTTCTTTTTAGAGAAGGCATTTAGTATTTTCTTATGAACATATTAACTATGCTAATGATTCTCAAAGCGTAGTCTATAGACAGAGGGTTCTTGAGATCATTTTAGGGGTTCTACAATGTCAAAAATTTTTTCACAAATTTGACTTGGCATTTGACTTTTTCACTGTGTTTTTTTACACTGATGGTAAAAAAGCAATTGTGGGCAAAACTGCTAGTATCTTACCACAAATCAAAGGAGTGGCATCAAACTATGTTCGAGTCTCCAGTGCCATGTATTTACTGTAAAAATGCCAGTTTCACTTAAGAATGTTCCTGTTGAATCAGTAAAAATTATTACTTTTAATTAAACTCTTGAGTATACGTTTTTTAATATCCTATGTGACAAATGGGAAGTATGCATAAAGCATGCCCACTGCATAGCAGAGTATAATGGTTATGTTGAGGAAAAAGCACTTAAGTAATTGTTTGAGTTGTGTGCTCAATGAGCCACTTTTTTCATGGAACACTACTGTTACTTAAATGACTGATAGACAAACCTGGTTCTTTGGATTTAGGTATGTGACAGGATTTTCCTCCAAAGTGAATGAAGCAAGCCTCTTATCTCAAGGAACAAGTCTGACAGTAGTAATTGCCAATGACAAAGTTTGACTTTTCAAGTAAAAATTAAGAATTTGAACAACCATCAGCCATCATGAGCTCAACAGTTTCCCAATGCTTAAAGATTTTTCTAATGAGATCAGTGGTGATATTAACAGATGTGATTTTTTGATATCAAATAATGTAATCTGTCAATATTAGAAAATCTGCATAACTCAAGAGGACTCAGAGAATGAATGCATGCTATAAAATTATGTACGGGTAAAGGATCTATTCAAAGTGCTAGACAGACCAATGGCTCTTATTGTCAAAGCACAAAAAGTACACTGATCCAGCTCCAGATATCACATTGAAACACCTTTAGAAAAGTATCACTTGTCGAGTTATGGTTTAGTATCAAAGAAGAATTCCCACAATTATCTGAAAAGACTATTAAAGTACTCCTCCCATTCCAACTACAGATCTATGTGAGGCCAGCTTTTCTTCATAGACTTCAACCAAAACAATGTATCACAACAGGTTGAATGCAGTAGATATGAGAATCCAGCTGTCTTCTATGGGGCCAGACACTACAGAGATTTAGAAAAGTGTAAAACATCACTCTACTCACTAATTTTATTTTTTGGAAAATAACTTTTCATAAAAAAATGCTATTTATATAAACATGTAATGGATTTATCATTGTTATCTAAAATAAACATTGACTTTTTTCTCAATATTAATTTTGAATGACAAATATCAGTAGACAGAAGCTATAAACAAAGGCTCTTTGGGGGTCTCTGATGATTTTTTTCACAAACTCAGAATTCAAAAACAGTTGTGAATTGCTGAACTATGCAATGGTCAGATGAAACTAATTTTCATAAATAATAGTGGCAATTATTTGAAACAACTGAGAAGCCCAAAAAGCACATTGTTTTGTGAAGTTTTAGAATCTTCTCAATGTTCCCCCTTACATAATTAGAAAGCGTATAATAATTTCTTTATAAACAGATTAAAATGAAATATAGGACAATGTGTAAAAGACTATTCTTGTAAACCATCATAATTGATCATTGACTATCTCAGAAAA